GAGCCAAGTCATCCATTTCATTACCCGCGCCCCATCGCACACCGCGCTACTCAAGCGGGATTCTCATCTTTGTTTGTCCTGCTGCCCCTCTTTTCTGGCTAAAGCTTCTGTCCCGCTCCATTCCAATGTCCAGCCACTGTCCACCGCGCTGTCCCCACGGACACGCAGGTCCGCCCGGCAGGTGGCCCGATCCCGCCATCAGGGCCATCGGGGCTGGGGAGAGCACGCGTCGGGCCAAGCTCCGGCGAGACGCGGCGGTGAGGTCCTGCGGCCCCGGGGCGCACTCACCCTCTTGACCAGGAAGCCTTCCTTGAGCACGCCGTCCTCCATGTCGCCCGCGCGGCCTCCCCAGGTGCGCCCTCCCCGCTCCGCGCGCTCCTGGGAGCCCGCGCCGCCCGCGCCCAGGAAGCGGCTCCGACGCGCCCGGCTACGCCTCCCTGGCGCGCGTCCAGAGCCCGAGGCTGCGGGGCCTCCCCGGCAGGAAGTCAGGCCAGGTCAGGATTTCTGACGTGACGTTTCCACCTGAAGGTGTTGGGGGGCCGTGTTAGTCCTCAAGGTACAGAGTCTGCCAGCCCCGCCCCATCCCGCCCCCTCCGGCTGGGCGGCGGGCTCCGTCCACGTGCGCCCCGCACCCCTTTCTCTTCCAGTCTCTTTGCCCAGCTGCCTCACCCCAGCCTTCGCCCCAAGCTGCCCTGGAGTAATGCTTATTCAATTAAACAGAACTGAAAAGATTTAGAGAATTTGGAGCCATCCCTGAGCTCCGTGGAAAAGGGTATAGGAGATGGGTGGCTCCTGTGGCTCATTGAGTAGGGCACCAGCCCCATATACCGAGGGTGGCGGGTTCAAACCCGGTCCGGCCAAACTGCAACAAAAAAGTAGCCGGGCGTCGTGGCGGGCACCAATAGTCCCAGCTACTCGGGAGGCTGAGGCAAGAGAATCGCCTAAGCCCAGGAGTTGGAGGATGCTGTGAGCTGTGACACCTTCTACCGAGGGTGACAAACTGAGACTCTATCTCTTAAAAAAAAAAAAAAAGAAAGAAAGAAAAAGAAGTAAAGGGGGATAGGAGAGTGGGAGGTGTGTCATTAGGCTAGGAACTCTATCCTGGCCCTCTGCGGAATAGAAGAATTCTCATTAACAGGAATGTGACAGGTTTAAAGAGGCAGGGCCCCTGCAGGGCCCTCTGTTCTGAAAACACATCCCCTCTCTCAAAAAATAAAGATAGAGGTGGCGCCTGTGGCTCAAGGAATAGGGCGCTGGCTCCATCTACCAGAGGTGGTGGTTCAAACCTGACCCTAACCAAAAACTGCAAAATAAATAATAAGTAAAATCACCCTCCAAAAAGATACAGCCTAAAATTCCATCATTAGGCACAAAATTTAAGGAGGTTCAGGAAAAGGGTAAGGAAATCAGTAATCTAGGTAAATAATATTTTAATGTAATTTTTTTAAATCAAAATTAATGCCCAAAAATACATGATGAACACAACATCAACATTTTAAATAAAAACAGGGTCAACAACAACCTGAGACAAAAGGGTGCCTCACTGCAGTAGTACTGATTCTGTCTAGGGATCCTGAGGACACAGTCACACATTCTTTATCTGTATTCCAGTGGGAAGGGTCCCGTCAGGACTCTACCAGGCAGGGGAACAGCCCTGAGATGCCCAGGGCAGAAGAGAAGTCTTTAGAGGAAAAGAGGTGCTCAGGCTATGCAGGTCCAGGGGTGCCTTTCAGAACCAGCCAGAATGAAACCCACTCCCAAAACACCCCAGGTAGCGCCAGGGGCTCAGACTACAGGGCCACATTCATCTCCCTACCCTCACCCTTCACCCCAGGGATACCTGGCAGGGGGTTGCCAGGGTAATGGCCCACTGTAGCCTTCTGCACCAACTGGCATTCAGACACACCCCCAAGTTGGAAAGCAGTGGGGCTTCCGGTGGGTTTCAGAACAAACATCAACTGTGCAAGCCTAAATAGGTGCTAGGTTTTATTTAATGCATAGCAACCTCCTGAGGTGAGTTTGTTATCTCATTTTTCCAGGCAAGGAAACTGAAACTCCAAGCAGTTAAATAACTTGCCCATGATCTCACAACTCCAGGGCACTGCAATATACTTGCTTCTCAAGAAGTTGTTCCAGCTCTGGCCTTAAACCCAGGACTTGAGAGGTTGGGCAGGACAGGTCTAATCCTCTTTGGTTCTAACTCTGGTCTCCTTATTTCCTTCACAGAAGCTATCTTGGTTCTAACCAGCCCCAACCTTCTGAGGCTTAGACGAGGTGGCCTTTCTTTGGCAAGAGGGGCTCCTGAGTGAATTCTCAGAAATGGGAATGGTTGGTCCCCTCTCCCGGCAGTACTCCTACTAGGAGGGAGCTAAGGCACAGCTAGAGCCTGTTCCTGTTCTGGGGACGTGCCTGGTCCAGCCCACCCTATCTGACTCACTGGACCTGGGATGTGACTCATACTACCTCCTTCCTCAGGCTGTAGTGACTGAGCCACCAGCCCACCAGGGAACCACAGCGACACAAGAAGATGTAGACAGAAGGAAGCAGATAGCAGTAAATAGCTGGGGAAGAGAGCAGGGAGAGGAAGGAAGCTCCAGGTCCAGGAACTCGTGTTGCTCTTCCAGACAGACATCTTTCCTCTCCCTCAAGGCTGGAGGCTGAAGTGGAAGGGTCCCTGACCAGCTCAGCCCTCTCCCTTTTTTGTCATGAATGGCCAGATAGAACTATAGTGAGCTACTAGGTCAGCCTGATGTGAAATCCCACTGTTAGAGTGTCATGCCTTTAGCTTGAGGCAAGGATCCCTTATTTAAGATACAAACAGTAGATAAGTGTAAACGGAGCTTTGGTCACAATGAATATCTGACTCATGAGTTTATCAGAATCACAGAACCCGAATCTAACCCTAAAGATCATTTCATAATCCAGACCCTTTGTTTTATAAAAGAGGACTTTCAAATCCCAGAAAAGTAAAGTGACTTGTCCAAGGTCCTGCAGCCAGTGAAAGCCAGGACCAGAATACAGGCCAACATAGCTGCATACTTCCAGGCTGGCTCCTGGCAAACACAGGGACACAGCTCCCAGCAGGAACCTGCAGCAGAGCACCCCGGTGGGGGAGGATGGCCGTGCAGGGCTAGACACTTCAAAAGTGCTTCTGTGTTTTCTGACCATAAAAATAACTTTGTGCTTATTATACAAAAGTTAGAAAATACAGGCACCAGCCACGTACACCTAAGGTGGCGGGTTCGAACCCCCAGCCCGGACCCGCCAAACAACAATGACGGCTGCAACCAAAAAATGGCCGGGCGTTGTGGTGGGCGCCTGTGGTCCCAGCTACTTGGGAGGCAGAGGCAGGAGACTAGCTTCAGCCCAGGAGTTGGAGGTTGCTGTGAGCTGTAATGCCACGACACTCTACCCAGGGGGACAGCTTGAGGCTCTGTCTCAAAAAAAAAAAAAAAAAAAGTTAGAAAATAATAAAAAAAAAGGTAAAACCATCAAATCCTATCACTCAAGACAGATGATCAATATTTTTATATGCATGTAATTTTTACTTTTTTTTTTTTTTGAGACAGAGTCTCACTTTATTGCCTTTGGTAGAGTGCCATGATGTACTAGTTCCCAGCAACCTCTTGGGCTCAAGTGTTTCTTGAGCGCCCAGCTATTTTTAGAGATGAGGTCTTGCTCTTGCTTAGGCTGGTCTCAAACTTGTAAGCTCAGGCAATCCACTGGCCTCAGCCTCCCAGAGTGCTAGGAGTATAGGCGTGAGCTACCACATCCAGCCCTTATTAAGTTTTATTTAAAAATTGTGAACTTCGCCTTTTTCAATTATTATAGCTAATAAGTGAATAAGCTAGATTATTAAAAGTAATTCAAAAGCATAGTTTTAATGACTGCATTAAATTTCATCATGACTGTATCATAATGTATTAAAATGATTTCTATTTAGAGCCAGGCATTGTGGCCGGCGCCTGTAGTCCCAGCTACTTGAGAGGCTGAGGGAAGAGAATCACCTAAGCCCAAGAGCTGGAGGTTACTGTGAGCTGTGACGCCCTGGCACTCTACTGAGGGCAACAAAATGAGACTCTGTCTCTAAAAAAAAAAAAATTTAAAGATCATTAACTAAATTATTTTCAAAGGAAATTCAGGCCAGGCGCGCTGGCTCACACCTGTAATCTTAACACTTTGGGAGGCCAACGCAGGTGGATTGCCAGGGCTCACAGGTTCAAGACCAGTTTGAGCCAGAGCCATACCCCCCTCTCTAAGAGCTGTGATGCCATGGCACTTTACTGAGGGCAACAAAGTGAGACTCTCTTTCAAAAAAAAAAAAAAAGACAGAAAGAAATTCAAAGCAGAGTAATTTTTTTTTTTTTTTGATGAACATAATTTAAGTGTGCAAAAACACTAGTCTACAGCATGGGTTCAAATCTTTTTTTCTTTCTTTTTTTTTTTTTTTTTGAGACAGAGCCTCGAGCTGTCCCCCTAGGTAGAGTGCCGTGGCATCTCAGCTCACAGCAACCTCCATCTCCTGGGCTCAAGCGAGTCTCCTGCCTTAGCCTCCCAAGTAGCTGGGACCACAGGCACCCGCCACAACGCCTGGCCATTTTTTTGGTTGCAGCCGTCATTGTTGTTTGGTAGGTCCGGGCTGGATCCAAACCGGCCACCTTAGGTGTATGTGACTGGCGCCTTAGCCACATGAGCCATAGGCACCGAGCCATGGGTTCATATCTTACCTCTGCCACCGCATGTTACAAATGGCAAGTTACATATCCTCTCTCACCCTTAACTTCCTCATCTGTAACATGGGGTAACAATAGCACCTACCTCAAAGACTTGCTTGGGCAAAATAAATGAGATTATGGGAGTAAATTGTACGGTACAGCCTAGCACACAGTAAGCTACAATAAATTCTCTTGACTCCACTTGATCCCCTTGTGAGGTTGGTAGGAGTTTGGGTAAAAATCACCTTCAGAGTGATGGAAAAAATACTAAAGCTGGGGAGAGGGGTGAAGTCGGGTGTTCATATTATTGCGTTCAAAGACAAAACATATACTATTGTACTAATCCTCAAAATTGCCCTGTGAATTAGGTATTATGCCCACCCTACAGATGGAAATGAAAATTCAGAGAATTTAAATAACTTGGCAGCTAGCACATGGCTGAGTCCAGGTTGAAATCCAGGCCTATCTGGTTTTAAGCCTTGTTTTTTCCACTACTCCACACTGTCTCTTTTGGCTAAATCATGTTCTCTCTTCCTGAGAAGGAATCCTTTCAGTCTAAGTCAGGGGCCCATTGTAGTAGATTGCATCATTGTTCCCAATTATTCCGTGCCATATCCCCATGATAGAATTATATTTCCTTGCCTCATTGACTCAGTTTGGTCGCCTGACTTTGAACAATGGAACGTCAGCTGTGTGTCGCCAGTGGAAGCTTTAGGCACCATT